CATAATCTAGGTAGTTGATGAGTCTTCCTCCAATTCTGATGTCATGTTGTTCTTCATATAAACCAGTTTCTTGAATCATTTGTTTAACATGTAGTTCAAATATATATAAAGAAAGATACAAACCTTTTGGATTCTTTTTCTAAATTAAAATCTTGCAATGTTACTTTGTCCTGTTTGGACAACTGCTGCTTGATCTATGTATGTATAGGTTTCAGTTGAATTGAGCACAATTCAATGTTCTGGAATTCTTATTCTTCTCAATGTTATCCTTAATTTGTTATGATCCATGAAGTTAAATGACTTTGCATAATCAATAAAACACAATGAAACATCTTTCTGGTATTATTCTCTGTATTTAGCCATGACCAACTTGACACAAGCAATGATATTACTTGTTCTACCGCCTCTTCTGGATCCAGCTTTAATTCCTAGCAGTTCTATGGTATGAGGCTAGCCTAAAGTTGGCTTTTTCAGCCATTACCTTAGCCTGATTTGGTCTCAAACTATCTTAATTACACCCACATGGTCTTGAAAATCAACATGGTCTCATAAATCAGCAACAGCTGGAGGATCAGCATAAGAAAGCATTCTCCACACTGAGAGGTATATTACAACACCAACACAGAAGCAACAACACAACTGTGTTTAAGCTTCCAGTGGCATCCAGCCTGGTTCATTGCTTGCCAGTTCCTGTGAAAAAAACTGGCCTAAATACCTACAGTCACGTGAGTTATTTCCCTGACAGCCCTGACCTTCTAGCAAATCTTTTCACTGAACCCAAAAGATCAGAGAGGAATTAGGAAACTAAGCCACACAGATGGAGCTGTTAATATTAGAAATTATGGATTTATATAACTGGATGAGCATTTACAAGTATGTTGACAGGAAGCTTCTTATTAATAGTGTGTTATTAATCTTAGTATTATAAAGTATACTTTACAGTATAATAAAAACATCTGTCAATTCATTGTTATAGACACTTAAAAAATAATCTTCAGTCAGGATTTTACTTAACATGTGTTATTAATGATAATGATCAATAATTTCCACATTCTGTTGATCAGTTTAATGGACTGGCCTTGTAGTTAGATGCTATCAAATTGACTACAACTCTTAACAATCTATGCAACAATAAATCAAAACCCTACCTTATCCTGTACTATCTTTATGAGCTTAGCCATGCGCAAACCTGTTGTTACAATCACTCACCATGTCAATCAATCTTTTCAAGGTCTTTCTCCCTTTCACTGACTATCTACTTTTCCTGGCATGATGCATTTTTCCAATGTTTAAGGTCTCCTGTCAACATTCAAAAAATATGTAAGATGAAGTTTTATTGTTGTTCTCTCTAAAGAGCACTCTGGTTGCTCTTCCTGCAAGACAGATTTGTTTGTTCTTTAGTAATCCCTGAGATATTCAATAGTCTTTGCCAACATCACAATTCAAAGGCATCAATTCTCATTTGATATTCTTTATTCACTGTCCAATTGTAAGATGCATATTATTGCCGTTGTACCTACATGCCATTGAGTCAAATATGACTCATAGTGACCATATGGGGTGGGCGGAAGATCTGAAGGAACCCTGTTCTATAACTATCATCATTCTTCTAACGTTCATAGAGCTTCCAAAGGTATGTTGTTTATGAAGTAGACACCAACCCTGCTTCCAAACCTGCCTTAATTTGGGAGCTCTACCAAATACTGTCCGCCCTGGATAACAATCATGACACTTGACACACCAGTGGCACAACATTCAGTATCACAGCAACCCCAAGCTAGCTGAGGACGGCAAAGTGACAGACCATTGCTGTACCACTTAGAAGAATGTACTTCCTAAACACAATTAACCAGGCCCAAAGCCTCGACAGACTTTTAAATACAAAGGCCCACCCGCCAGGTCCTGATTGACTTAAACAGGAGGCTTCCAGCCCACAGCTGAAGTTAGCTAAATCCAGTAAATCCAGGTGACCAATCAGCTCACACATGATTGTGAATGAAGTAAAAAAAAAAAAAAAAAAAAAAAAAAAAAAAAAAAAAAAACCCAAAAAACCCAAAAACACCACACAAAACACCAACAGAAAACCCAAACAGTTTGCACATGACTTTCAACTACAGCAAGATAACTTACCTTTTACAATCAAACATAAGCCTCCAAACTGGACACTTAGTCAGGGCCTAACAAACTTTTAAATACAAAGGCTGGCCCACCTACCATATAAAACAATTTTAAAAAATAATAATTTAGGCCAGAGGCATCTTAGTCTTTATAATGATCCTCTTGCTCTTCAGTACTTTAAAGAAGCTCTTGATAGCAGATTTCCCAGTGCAACATGCTTTTTGATTTTTTCCCCCCACTGCTGCTAGACTATATATTGTATATGGATCCAAGAAATGAAACACTTGACATCAACCTTTTCTCCATATATCATGAAGTTGCCTATTGGCTCAGTGAGATTTATGTTTTATTGATGTTGAAATGTGATTCATGTTGGAAGTTGTAATCTTTGATCTTCCTCAGTAAATACTTCAAGTCTTTTTCACTTTCTGTAAGCAAGGTGATATCTTCTGCAGGTTTTTGAAGAGTCTTCCTCCAAATCTGATACCACATTCTTCTTCACATAGTTCAGTTTCTCAGTTATATGCTCAGCATATAGATTGAATCAGTATAGAAAAAGAATACATCCCTGATATATTCCTTTCATCATTTGAAACCATCCACTATTTCCTTATTTTATTAGAATAACTGTTTTTTGACCTATGTAAAAGTTTTGCATGGACACAACTATTTTTTTTTTATTTCCATCCTTCTCAATTTAATCCATGATTTATTAGATCTATTAGATTTATTAGATCTATTAGATTTATTTATTGATTCAAACAAGCAAATGCCTTTGCATAGTCACTAAAGCACAACAATAATCTTTTTGGTATTATCTGTTTTACGTTAAGATTGATCTGACAACAGTCAGACCATATATACCTTATTCCTTGCCTTTTCAGAATTCAGCTTGGATATCTGGAATTTCCCTGTTAATTTGCTATTCTAACCACTTAAAAAATACTATCCAGCAAGATTTTACTTATGTGTACTATCAGTGATACTGTTCAATAGTTTCTGTAAGCTTTTGGGTCATCATTTCCAGAATGGTAACAAAGGAGGTCCTCTCAGTTTATCAGTCAGTTTTCTTCCTAATGTTGGGACATAGACAAGTATATCCAGAGTTGCACTTCTTTGTTGAAACATTGTCATTTGTTTTCCATAAATTCCTGGCGCTTTATTTTTCCCCAGTGCCTTTAGTGCAACTTGGACCTTTTTCTTCATTATCACAGGTTCTTCACCATAAACTATGTTAAGAAATGTGAAATATTTCAGTATTGACCAAAGCTTTTTGATGCATTGAGTCTTTATTTGTTCCATCTTCTTTGGATGTTTCCTGTATTGTTCAGTATTTTGGCCACAAGATTCCTAGAATTTGCTTTATATTCTGGAGCATTTTGGAATGTTCTGCTCAGGTGTACTACTTCATTTCTTCCATTCGTTTTTTATTTCTTTACATTTAAGAACAAGTTTCAGTCTCTTTTGACATCTGTTTTGTTCTTTTCTTTTTTCATGTCTTTTAAATGAACTTTTTCTTTCTTCATGACTGATATCCTTGTTATCATCTCACAATTTGTCTGGCATTCATTAATATTAAATGCATCAAATCCGTTGTTGTTGTTGTTGTTATGTGCCGTCGAGTCGCCTGCGACTCATAGCGACTCTATGTACAACAGCCCTAAAATCCGCTCTGTCCTGTGCCAATCGCACTGTCTCTGACATTCCCATCCCAATTATCCCAGTCACTGAATCAATCCACCTCATAGAGGGCCTTCTCCTCCTGCAGCGTCCCTCCCCCTTCCCAAGCATGATGTCCCTCTCTAAGGACCGGTTTCTCCTCACAACATGTCCAAAGTATGTTAGACGGAGCCTCAGAATCCTTGCCTCCAAGGAGACACCCGGTTTAACCCTTTCCAGGACAAATCTACTCTTTTTAAATTTCAGTGAGATAAACTTGAGGTCATGTTTTAACCTTCATATACTTTTCTAAAATTTACTTAAATTTGAAATTGCCTATGAGTAACTGAGTCTTTTCCACAGTTTTAAACTATAGAATTGGTAAAAGGATCCTAAAACAGGAAAAAGTAGTGCTAATAATTGGGTAGAGAAATTACCATGTTTGTTTACTGACTGATGTAGTCTCAATTTGTGTAATACCTTTACTTTTTTAAAATACTTTAAAACTTCTTAATAATGTGTACTAAGACACTTTTTAATTAATTAATTAAGTTTTCATTTCAATAAACATCTACAGAGATTTTGGAATTCCGTTCATTCATTGTTGCACTTTCCCCTCCCACCCCCCGTTTGCTCCTCTCCTTCAAACGCAAAAGAAAAACTCCCTCATTGGTACGCAATCCCCCACACACATCCCCCAACCCCCAAATATAATCCACTCTGCAACCCTCATTCCGTACTCTTACGATAAACATAATGCCCTAAAATATAATACTTTTAAACTATTCTCTCCCCCATAGACTTCAATGCAGTAAACATAATTCATCCAGTTTTTGTTAAGAAAATTTTCACGGTTTTATTGTATAATGAGGCATTGAAACATCCGTACAAATCAATATCTGGGTGGTGAGGCAGCTGCTTTCACCTTCATTTCTTTCGGTTACTAGAGCAACTTCTCAGTAGATTAAAAAGAAAGAAAAAAAGACAGCCTTTTGTATTACTTAAGTCTTTCCAAGGCATGCGCTGGTACAACACAAACTTCTCCTGTCAGATGCAACTAGTCTAGTGTCCAAACATCACTCACTGTGATAGCAGCGCACCGCACCCACTCCCACCTTGGTCTTGCTTTTTTGTGTATGATATTTGGAGCATCTGGAGGAGTGTGAATAGTATCGGGAAAAGGAGGGAGGGGGAAACAGCATTAATGCCTGGCTGGGACGAGGTCAGCTGAAGTTGTGCAGAGAAAGCCTGAACATATCATTGGTGCAAACACAAGCATCATTGATATTCTTTAACAGGAACATCTGATGAAAGCCCATGATGGGGTCTTCATTAGCCTTGAGCTGGCCCACAACCATGCTGAGGATACAGCTATCTGGCGTGGGCTGATGGTCCTGCGACGTGATGCTGTGCGGGATTTTCTGGAACGGAAGGCTAGACCATTTCTCCACAATGGCAGCTTTCCCCTGGAACTGTTGTCCTTCCCATGTAAGGTATGATGTGTCAATATAAATTGCTCCTGGTTGGACTCTGTCCTTATCAAATAACTGGTAGTAATGTTGAATGAAGCTGGACCCAATCTGTTCCTGAATTGGTTTGTCTCCCGTTATGGAGTGTCGCCCAGCCTCCGGGAGACCCGAGGGGCTGGCACGACAGCAGCAGCAGCGGTGGTAACACAGCACAGTCTGCCGTACTAAGACACTTTTGAGCTCCGGTGGTGTAGTGGTAAGGAATTGCACTGCCAAAGCTAAGGTATGCAATTTAAATCTATCAGCTACTCCACAAGAGAAAAATGAGAAATCTCCTCCAGTGAGATTCCTTACCTCTGAAAATTGAATAAGGGAACAAATATGGATTATTACTCATTAGTACTTAACAATAAGAAGAAACTTTACAAGGTTTCAGATCAATTAACTTACATTACCAGTTTTTAGACTCTTAAGCTAAAGCTCTTGTCCAATGTTATTTGTTGTTGTTGTTGTTAAGTGTCGTAGAGTCTTAGGTGACTCACAGCAACCCTATGAATGAAAGACCTGGACACTTGTAATAGGCAAGCTATTTCAGAAGTGGGTGCCACTTCTGCTTCCAAGCTTTTTTTTTAATGGGGAGCTCCACCAAACACTGTCCACTATGGGTAACCAGTATCTCATTTGACGCATCAGTGTCTCAGTGTTCAGTGTCACAAGCAACCATGAGTTACCTCTGTACAGCAAATGGACAGACCAGGGCTATATGACCTAGAAGAATATTTGACCAAAATCAATTAAAAACAGGCTTGAGGGCTGTGGATTAGAGTCACCCACCTTTGGCTTGGTAGCATCACTTCCTGTCACTAGACCAACTGATTAGAGTTGTAAAAATACAAGGTGAAGGAGGGATATGTTAGCAATTATTCAATGCAACATGATTCTAAATAATAAATGATGTTTCAGTTGCATGGGGTTGAGTCAGAACCAACACATAGCTGACCTCCCAGCAGGTTTTCAGAGGCAATAAACCACATGGAAGGAGATTGCCCATCCTTCTGTTGAGGAGAAGCTGGTGGATCCAAACCACTTGCCTTTGAGATTTCAGGGAAGCTTCTTAAGATTAGCCCACCAGAGCTCACTAAATAATAAATAGTTATAAATAAAATTACTCACAAAAACTCATTTAGTCAGTTTTATATATCAATCAATATATTATATTGTCTAAGTGTTCTATCAATCAGAAGAATATATGTTGCTGTTGTTGTTATGTGCCATCGAGTCGTTTGTGACTCATAGCGACCCTATCTACAACAGCCCTAAACCCTGCTCTGTGCCAATCGCACTGCCTCTGACAC